TGTGTACATACAGCGCTCTGTCATCTGCAAATGTTAAGACACTGTCACCTGACTGACACAGCTGGTTAAGTTGGTTATAACTTTAGAAACCTTTGATGTCAATTTGTCACCGTGTTACAACCCTGCGGCGGGAAAGAAGAAGAAGAAGTAGAAAAAAAAACTGCAATGCAAACAAAATATATTGGACCGTTTGAAAATTTAAAATGTCAACTGTCAAATTTCTCAGTGTTCAATTTGGTTGCGATGGAATAGGGTTACAGTTCAGCAGGCAATGTCTGATGGGATGTATTCATCATTATTGGGTAATTGCAAGGAGCTCCCGTGTGCTCAGGCAGAGAAGGAGAGGGACTGAAAGAGGAGAGATGGGTTGAGAGGGAGGAGAAGGGTGTAGAGCGAGAGAGAGAGAGAGAGAGAGAGAGAGATGGAGAAAGAGGAAAATAAAAAGGTAACGACTAAAAACCATTAGAGGGGATATGCTCTGGTGAAATTATTCAGGAATGTGTGAAAATGTGACATTAGAGGAGGTGTACTGTATCATTAAAGCTGCACAGTGACAGAGTGCTAAACATGGGCTCGGATGCTCCCTGACTGTGTCGTCATAGCAATTGATGAGCAGTGCGAGATGGAGGTGGGTGAGAGGTCTGACATGACTTTGTTTGTGATGCAAAAGGAACAGGAGTGAATTAACATTTTCACTATCAAGCGTATACACTGTGAAAACGGATGAGTTGAGTGAGAGAAAAGCTTTTATCATATACAGTGAGTGCAGTTCACCTCCTCTCAAGATTCCCTGAAACAGCTGATATTAAATAATGATTTAAAACGTTTCACTGAATGAATGCTTCGTTACTCTCAGACAATGATTACTTTAAACAGTATATAACCTGATCAGACTTCTTCTATCACATACATCTAGTCTCGCATGTGAAATATGGTCCTGTGCGTAAGAAGCTGTTTTTCCCAAGTAAAAGCATCAGTCTTCATGAGTGAACTGCAAGTGAATCAACAGTTAATCAGGTCTCTGAATAGTGACGAGAATGACATGATATTTGAACAATTCTGAGGCTGAGTTAACTGTTGCCTTGTGCATCGCGTTGCTATGTTGGTCAGTTAGTCTGGTCTTCTTGATTTAGACAGAAATATCTCAACAGCTACAGACTGGCTAGTGAGGAATTTTTGTAGAGATGTTCATGATCTCCAGGATTCAGTTTACTGACTGGTGATCCCCTGACTTTTGATCTTGTGCAATTGTCGTTATCAAACCAAAATCGTTTTTTCCTAAACTAAGAGCATGTTATGATTCTCATTTTTAGCATGTTACATTTACATTTACTGATTTGGGTTCAGTGTTTTGCCCAAGGACACTTCGGCACGTGGACAGCAGCAGCTGTGGATCTAATCGCCAATGCTGTGATCAGTGGACAACCTGCTGTACCATCTGAGCCACAGCTGCGGCCACCATGTTAGTATGCTAACGTTAGCATTTAGTTAAAAGTATGTTGTGCTTAAATACAGGATCATGGGGCCCCTAGCGTGACTGTAGATTCCTAGTCTTGTTTATTTTCCTGCAGTTTTAACATGAATGTTTTTGTTTTAAACTCTCCAGTAAATCAAGTTCTTATTTTTGTGACTTAAGCCTGACTCAGGGTCTGAGTCGTCTACAGCTCCGGTAGTTCGTATGAGCGACTGCGCAGACAAGAGTGGCACCTAAACAAACCAAAGAATCAAGTGTTTATTGCCACAAATGGTTCCAAGTTATAATAAAGAAAGAAGGTGAACAATTTCTTTAACAAATCAAATTGAGATGAGACAAGCATAAATTAAAATAAAAACAGACAAAACAAAAGACATTTTTTGCAGTTTGTTGTCCCCTTAAAAAACAGTATAATATATCATCACAATCTCTTTTCATACCTCAGTGAACACACTGCAATTGGAATCACATTTACAAATGATGTGGCGCCACGCCGCTAAAACAAATCCCAGAGGAAGCCATTAACAGGTAATACGCAATTAGTTACCATGTGAACGTTCAGCTCCAGGGGGAGCGATTATTCCAACACAAGATGTTCCGCGGCGAAACAAAGCATGTGACCCATCTGTGGGCAGACAAGAGGAGAGGGAGCTTAGCAGGTGTACTCACCCAGGAGGGAACTCCAGGTAGGTGGGCGGGCGAGCACGCGGGCATTTGACACCTGTCTAACCACACGAGGCCTCGGAGGTTGACAGCCAGCGCTGCACACTGCATGAAAAGTCACTGTTTCACACAGAGAAGATGGACTGCAGGTGCTGCAGCTGCTATTTTTAACCCGAGGCCTCCATCCAGGACTCAACACACTGTTTGAATTGTTGTTCCCAACCACCCCCCTCCTCCCTCGACGCTCTCCCTCCCTCTCTGACGCTCTGCCTGCAGAAGACTCCTTTCTATCCAAAGAGTTATTCACCATTTAAAAAGAAGAGACACTTTCTCTCTGCAAAATATATTGATAGCACAAAATGAAATCAAATTATAGTCCTTAAGTGCCAGTTCTTGATTTAAAAGTATCTCTCAGAAGGACTGAATCATTTTTATTATATTTCTAGATTCTGAATGATGAACCGAGATTTCTGTCATGAAAAAAAAAGGCTGTTCATTTTATTATCCTCTGAAGTTGCCTTTTAATTTGCAGCACACAAGAGCAACTACAGACCTCAGTATAGTATTAACAAACCATATTACATAAGGTAGTGCAAGTACAATCATTTATAATGCGAGAAAGGAAATGACGCTCAAAAAAAGAACGGGCGATGGCTCCCAGCGCACCGTAATGAATGTTTCACAGAGCGTGTGAAGTTTGTACTTATCGAGTCGGTCGGCCCAGTTTCTGCTCTGCTGTGTGCTGCGTCTGTGATACACGCAAAGCGACGGGTGTTAGTGACAGTAGAGTAGAAGTGTGGTGAGTGTGTGTTTTTTTTTTTTTTTCTGTGAATGGATTGACATGAGTCAGGGCCATTACTCGTGCTGCGAAGACTATAAGACTTGTCCCGGGTTTAAAGTAAATCTTGCAACGACTTTTTCAAACTGTGTGATTCTGATTCATGTGGGGAAAATAGTGTTTTCACTCCAGCAGAGTCAGGTTAGTCAGACAGTAAAATGATGTAGAAGAAAAATATGGGCACATTATGACTCAGAAGAAAGGTGAAGAAGCTTAAAGAAGAAGCTTAAAGAAGCTTACTTTGCTCCCGGCGTCCCTGTGATTATACAGTAGAAGTGTCTTTTGTGCCGACAAACTCAAGCAGTTTGGGCAAACTTTAAAGGTTCACTCAAGGGTTTTTGAGACTAGACTTTATTAGTGAAAGCCTGTGTGACAAACGAGGGGCTTAAAGTTTGAAGGATTGGTGTTTACCAGGCAGTAAGGGCCTAATGAAAGAGGCTGTTGAGTTGCATCATGGGAAGTGCAGGGTCCAGTGTCTTTGTAGTGTGACTCATTCTAAGATCTAAAAGTCAGGATATCTCAGCCCGTGTGGCTCTGGTTTTAACCATTTCATCTTTAAATCTGTCTGTTGCAAGCTGCCTAACTTCACAGAAGTACAATCATAAACAGCTGGAGTGTCACTTTAATTAGCAGTTTTAATGGAAACAACAACAATAACTCATGTGAAGGTAAAAAGAATGTAGTCAGTCTTCTTGACAGCGTTTTTCAAATACTATAACCTAAAATGAGTCAAATAGGGAAATACATTTATTCGCTTTCTTGCCAAGAGTTAAATGAAAAGATTGACTTTCATGTCTGTATGCTAAATATGATAATAACAGCCTACAGCTGGTTAGCTTAGCTTAACACAAAGACTGGAAAAAGGGGGGAAAAGCCAAGGTCTGTCCATTGGTTAAAAGAAAAAAATAAGTCCAACTACCAGCTCCTCTAAAGCTCACTAATTAACACACTATATGTTGTTTGTTTAACCTGTACAAAAACCAAAATGTAAAAAAACAAAAGTTGTGCTTTATGTGCCTTGGATGGGCGCATATTTCCCCAAAACTCCTCCTTTAAGCTGCTGCTTTGTTACCAATTTCTCAAACGTTGTTCATAGTCGATACATGAATTGTTCAATCTGCATCCAGTGGTGGAAAAATCACTGTGATAATGCATTAGAAACACACACACACACAAACACACAAACACACACACACACGTGCAAAGAGGCAAGGACATGAATGTGTACTCAGAGTGAGTCTTCGCGTGGACTGGGAAGCTGCAAGAACAGCCTTTCATACACACACCATCATGCACGCATGCATCTTTTACCCTCTGTCACATCAGGGGTCCGTGTAAAGTCAGAGCTCAAACAGAGCACACACACACACACACACACACACACACACACACACACACACACACATGTGCCTACTGTAGCTTGCTCACTAAGGAAAAAGGTGTGTGAGGCTTCTTCGCCTTGTCAACAGGATGAGGAGCAGGGAGATGGAAGCCGGGGCGTTAGTCTCCTCGGGGCTAGCTCTGGGATTTCCTCCAGAGGACAGAATAGGAAAATACAACACCATATAAATAGATTCTCCCCGCTCAAAATACCGATGGCCTCAACGGGGAGGACTGATGGGGGGTGGGTGCAAGACGAGATTTGCATTGAATTTTGTGCTCTCCGTGCTCCCCATGTGTTTGCTTTCATCCATGTGGATCTTTGTCAGACTTAAGTGTTTTATTGTATTTTTCTCCTGCCTCCCACAGGGCAACAATAACATTAACAAAGCTTCTAGATGCCGTGTAATTTGTTGATAGTGGGATATTTTTGCATTATAAATTTGATGCCTGGTCCAATGAATGGCACCCTGTTTGTGGTTGTTTTATGATTATAATTTCAGGATTTTAGGCCATTTGTGAATGTGTGTTTGCCTGTGTGTGAATGCATGGGTACCCTCATGTATCCTCAGTGTTTGTCCAGCAGGCTGGCTGGCTGAAAGGCTGAAACTCATTGTCCTGTCTCCCCCACTGTGGTTCCTGCAGGGTGGAGAGGAGCCAGCCGGTCTGCCCACCGTACAAACTGCAGCTGGAAGAGTGTCTGTCTGCCGAGCAGGTGCCCACCCCAGAGCTCATCCAGGGCTACGTCAAGAAGGTAGGGCTGCTTTACAAATGCCAAGCTGAAGGTTTTGTCAGTTTGTGCCCAGCTGGAAGGAGAGGATGCAGCAGGGAGGAAGGAAGGGGGGAGGGAAGAATGAGTGAGAAATAAGCAAAGTAAATGGCTCAATGTACATTCTAACATCAAATACTGAGCGACAACATCCAAAGCAGTCCATGTCCTCAGTCCAGAATATAAACTTAGTGTGCTACCAAACTGAAATCATTTTATTCAGCGTGTCACGCTGTCTGAAGGTTCAGAGAAGACAAGGTTTGTATGTTTTTAGTGAATCAGCCACATGGCTAAACCTGCTAGCACACTGCTGTCAGGCTGAAGGGTTTTAATAGCAGCTTGTCACAGAATGCTTGGAGCACAGTTGTCAGTGTAGTCCATCATGTTGGAGGAGTGACAATAAAAAGGATTTTTTAACATACTTGCCACTTTAAAAGATAATAAAGAAAACATAGGGGTGGTGACAAAGTGTGTGTATTTCAGGAGATGTCAGGTATAAATTAGTGGCAACTTCACAACTTTGATTTTGTTACTACTCCTCTGTTATGAGCTGTGTTGACAGGCTGCCACTGCTGCATGTTCTGATCAATTAGTCCCTGCCTGTTTATGAACACAGGGTGGGCCAACGGTTTAACAAGGAGGGACTCGCATGCACTAACACGCACACACCGCTGTCCCGGATACAAAACCAAAGAACAGAGAAGCTCAGATTACAACACTCTTACAGAAAACAGTTGTTTGCTGCTATGTTAGTGTTTAAAATATTGTTTACAGAACCTTTAAATAAATTATAGTTGTGTCATGCCAGAGATCCTGCAGTTCAATCCCAACTTTGTCAGATTTGTTTTAAACTAGCAGCAGTTTATCAGTTACATCAATCAAATTCAGACAGGGCAGCAGGAGGCAGTGGACGGATCAGTAGTAGGAGAAGTGTTCAGATTAGAGGTCTTCAAATGTCTTCACCAGATCCAAAACAGAGCTGGAAGAGGCAGTCAGACCTGACCGACATAATTAGACCCAATTCTAAAATTTCCAAAATGTGGTCAACTCGAGAGACCCAAATAGAGAGCTATCACCAGCAGCATGATGCACCAATAATGAGCAGAAACACATGTAATTTCTACCTGCACTTCACAGTTCACACTCTCCCTCTCACCTCTAAAGAACACATTTTTCCCCTGCCATAATTTTAACACAATGTGAGGTAATAGCGGCTCCACTTGGAGCCATTTGAGTATTATACATATTAACACAGAGACACCAGACCCTCATACAACAGGACCCTACCTGACCTGATTATACTAAATGTAATTTGGACATGACCTTACTTCGGTCCTGAGTCAGGTCTTGAATATTAGGAATGGAGTGGACACATGAAAATCCTTAATTACAGTGAGAGTAATAATATAGCAGTGCTAAAATATTCTATTATGAGAAAACGTGTGGACGTGTTAGCAGCAAAATGTATAAGTGAAATACTCATAACACAGAATGGCCTATTTCAGTGTTAAATTGCTGATGCGTTAAGGTTGAACCGCATTGTAATGTCGTAGCTGATCCAGATGGAACTATATCATGCATTATATTTTACAAGATTATTATATGAGATTTTGCATTTAAAAAAAAAAATCTGTCTTCAGAGTAACATGCAGCAGCTAAATGGTTGTAGTTGAGTGAAAAGTACAATATTTCCCTCTGAAATACAGTGAAGAGGACGTGAAACCTCAGTTGGACGAAGCTAGATCATTCATATAACTGTATATTCGGTTGTTAGTTTCAGCCCCATAAGCTCCTTCAAATCTGTGATAGCTCTCAAAATCTGTGTCACAGACATCAGAGTATGAAAGAGTGTTCTTCAGGGTTCATATAGAATTATATATTTGCATGATTTCACATTTTTAAAGACAATATTGTTCATTTGCAGTGCTTCCAAGTTGGTGAATGTATGTGTGTAATATACTAAAAGCCGTATTTCCCAGATGGTTCAAGGCTAATGTTAATTAACAAACCAAATAACACAGCATATCTGTACTTTCCATAGAGGAGATGAAAGCAGCTAACAGAAGCCACAGATGTGAAATCACATTCCCTGATCTGATAATGAATTGGCTCTGTAACCTATGTCACTGTTATGATGCACCGCTGCAGAAAGCCTGTTTTTGAAATGGCACTTCAGATGAAATGCAGGAACACACCTTCCTCTCTTGTCTCTGGTTCTGCTGCATCATCATGATTCAACGCTCCTGCCTAATCTGTATATTACCGACCGCCTTTGAAGCCTCGCTCCCGAACCTTTCTGTACATTTTGCCCTTCGATTAGTCATGCAACCGCAGTCCTGTAGGACCTCATTACTGCTGGTTATCATTTTAATCTACTGAGCTGCTACAGGCCTGCTGGAGGAGGAGGAGGAGGAGGAGGAGGCCTTGCTGGAAATCTATTAAAAGGAAAGTGGACATGGATGAGTGGTGGAGGAGTGAGTCCATTCCCTTCAGCCTCTCTCTTGGTTTCTGTTTTTCTCTGTCTTCGTCTCCTTTTTTTCTTTTTTTTTTTTGTCTCATTTTCTTTTCTTTATCTTCCCCACCGTCTCGATCTCTCTCGTTATCCCTCTGCCTCTCTTTCTGTCATCTCTTCTCTCCCCCTCTCTGCCTTGCTTAATCTCTCTCTCCGGGGTTTTCATCTTGACCTTCAGGCACCTTCTCCTGGTGCCACTTTAATAACTTACGGGGGGAAATAGGAAATGTAGTCTCAAGTCAAAATTGAAATGGGTTTTTCACTGCAGGCTGTTGATATTCTGGTGGCAGAATAAGGGAAGCAGCTTCCAGAATATTTTTCATTAAGTTTGTGCTCTGCATCATTTTGGCTAATGAAGAGAAATTATGTGATGCAAAGTTTCCTGTTTGACCTCGAAACCTCATTTTCTTGACCTGAGGTGGTTCCTTCTGAGCCGGAGCAACCCGTGAGTTCATTTAGATTGAAAAGTTCAGAAGAATGCTAATTTTTTATTTTATCCTCCATTTATTCGACTGTTCCCAGTCGTGTGTATGGGACATTGCTCTTGAAGGGCTGCAACCAAGAATTATTCTCATTTTCAGCAAACACCCTTGATATCCACTTTTCTCCTTAGATTCCCTTTATCTTTAAGGTTATTAAAACTTGTCTTGTTCCACACGGTCTGACAGTATATGTAATATCTGTATCCCCTTGTTCCACCTTTAAATCAAAGTTATACGTTGTCTATACTGAGGGAATTACTCCAACTCAAGTCTTTATGTTTTTATGCCTGAATTATGCCATCAAATAGAAATATACAGGATGACTCGTGCATCATTCGGCATGCTAGCAGTGTTGCTCTAGGGATGGCAATGTTGGTTAACCACTTTGGTCCAGACCGAACTATCTCAACAACAATTAGATGGATTGCCGTGATATCTTGTACACACATTTGTGTTACCTGGAGGATGAATCCTAATGACTTGAGTGAGCTCCTGATTTTTCTTCTAATGTCACCGTGAGGTTGACTATTGGAATGAATGCCTTGAAATTTGTTGCACACATTTATGTCCCCCCAAGGATTAACTTTATTAACTTTGGTGACTTTTCATCTAATGCCATCATCAGGACAGATAATTATGCTTAAGTTTTATACCCAAATACCTGCAAAACTAATGACTTTCCCATCATCCTCAGGCGTACTCTCTTTTTAGTGCTAATTAACTAATGTTAGCACGTTCAATTAAAATGTTTGACATGGTAAACATTAACTGCTAAACATCAGCATGCTCTTGTGTGTACCAAATTTCAAATTAATCAGTCTTTACAGGAAAGCATTCATAGTGCAGCGCAGAAAAAAGCTTAAACGAGAAGTTATGTTTAGTCATTACATTAACTCATTCAGCAGACACTTTTATCCAAAGCAACTTAGATGTGAGGGACATCACTACAATTTCAGTGCAGTAGGAGAACTTGGTGTAAGTACTAAGTATTACATAGATTTAATAAGTAGCAAGGAGATCAAGTAAGTAGCACCGAAAGTAATCGGGCCCAACACAGAGATGTATATTGCAAAGAGGAGGGGTCCCAGTACTGATCCCTGGGGCACTCCTGAGATGCCGGGGCAAAAGGGAGTTTCAGATAACGTCTACTGGAGCTTTAAGTACAGCCTCTGACACGTTTCCTCAAGATTCAGCCAGAGATATTTGTGTTATCTTTGGACATTCAATTTGCAATGACACAAAGGAGAGAAAGAGGAGAGGAGAGGAGCAGAAAATCCTCAAATTTAAGAAGGTATAACCAACAATATTGCTCAATAAATGACTTAACAGTTATTAAAATTGCTGTCCATTATTTTTCAGTTTTAAATAATTAAGCAACTAATTATTACACCCCCAGACTCTCATGTCTCAAACAATAACATACAACTCATCCGAAAGAGATTTTAAATTATTTGTGATTATACAGCAAAAATGTAGCTTAATTTGGACATATTTGGTGATTTACTCTATTTGTTTTCACTCATATTTGTTGTTTGTGCAGTCACAACATTTGTCACCATGTAGGCCTTTTGGCAAGTTGTTTGGAAAAAGAAATCAAACCTGAATGGCTCTAATGTGTCATACAAGGGATTTATAATAATGATAATAATAATGACAATAATGGTACTAAAAATACTTTCTATCATTACAGCCGACCATTTGAATCCTCTGTGCTATCAACTGCAACAGCATTAGACAGTCGCAGCCATTCATCTCTCTCTCTCTCGCTCTCTCTCTCTCTCTCTCTCTCTCTCTCTCTCTCTCTCTCTCTCGCTCTCTCTCTCTCTCTCTCTCTCTCTCTCTCTCTGACTGCCTGCATTACCATTAAATGAGATACAACACTTGCATTCTTTTATCTCTGCAATTCCATTTCAACATATTGGTATGGGGAATATGATGTGGAAGCACCCTGAGTGCGTTCACTGATATTAAACAATGTGGCTGGAAACAATGTGACTGTTTTCCAATTTAATTTCATAGTGAATAACCTGCAATTTGATTTGATTTTTATTCTCTCCCCTCACTGTGGCTGGAGATAGAGACGGGCGCCGCCTTGGCTTGTGGGTGGGGCGGCGATGGTCTGCGGAGGAGGTTGGTGGGGTGGTGGGGCAGGAATGGAGAATGGCATCATTAACATTCTCTGACAGTTAACGTTTCAATTTCGCTCTGTGGCAGAATCCCAATATTGACATAAAATGCCAGATGACAATAAGACGGAGGGGGGAAAAAAAAAAAAAAAAGAAGTGGAGCGATGGATTTGGGATGCGGCCCAGGCCTGACTGAGGTTGTGGCCGCTCCAGTCTAATCAACAGCTGTGTGATTGGAGAAGATGCTGGTAACGGAACGTAAAGAAACAGAGAAAAAACTAAGATCCAACAGATGCAGTGGAGTCGACAGTGCTCTGAAAGTTCAGTTTCAGATATCATGGCAAACAACTTTGTTGTGTATGTTATGCTTCACAGTTTCTTATTTTGCATTCTGAATTAGCATTTTTGCCATTTTCCTAACAAACGGGTGCAACAACAGCTTCACACCCAAGATATTTAACACTATATCTAATGATGCAACTCACAATTATTTTTATAATTTTGCTAGTCACTTTCTCAATTAGCGGACTAATCATTTATACTTTGAAAATAAAAGCCCAGCTCAGTTTCTCAGAGCACAAGGTCACATCTTCAAATTCAAAGATGTTCTTTTTACCATTATACATGAAGAAAAGCAGCATTTCTTTTGTCAGTTTACTTACTGATCATTTTAGCTCTTTTCAAATCAAAATCAGAGGATGCAAAGTCTCATCAGTCTACCTTTTGATTTTTATTGTTTTTATTGTTCTTGCTCTCAACAGCAGATCCAGGATGCTGCTGACCAGGGAGTGAAGTTTGTGGGATTTGTCCAGGAACCGTATGGGGCCCCATGCACCACGATCAGAGAACCAGACACCCCCTCCCTCTCCCTGCACTCCAGCCCAAGCTCATTGCTCGATTCCCTGGGCAGCTGCAGCCCCTCGAACCCCTCGAGCCCCCGACACCACGCAGAACCTGGAGCTGAAGCTGGCACGGTGGTCAAAGAGGGGAGCGAGGAGGCCTCTGCAGGGGAAGGAGCGCCGAGCGGGGAGAAGAATCAAAGTGAGAACACTGGGAACCATTCGGGGAGCCGGGTGGAGGGGAGTCAGGCTGAGGTCTCGCCTGCGACGTCGCCAATATCAGAGTTAGATCTGGAGCACAGCGAGGAGCTGACGGAGGAGAACTCACCGTGTCACAATAACAACAAAGGCAGCGACACAGAGACAAAGGAGAGGCCGAGATACCGGCTGCGGAGAGGCGATGGTGAGTGGTCTCCATGGTTACTATCATAAACTCAAACTAAGATGAGAATGATGTCTCAAACAAAAACATGGAAATAAGGACCATGACTCTCATATGCTGCCTCAAAAGAATGCATCTGGGTATTTGTGTATAGTAACTGAAGCGCTTTTATTATTTTAGTTTACTATAACTGATATTTCAGATTCTGCTGGTCCACATTTTACAGAACTTACTTTAAAGGGTCATTTCACCCAAATTACATTAAGCTCAAGATTGTTATTTTATATGTCCAGGTTGTGAGATATCTGTCTCTCTGCCACCCCAGTACAGCAGAGGAGCAGCATCTCTTTCCAGACACAGTGACCCTGTTTCTTATAGCTAATCCACAAAGCATGCTGTCAGCAATTTTCTTCTGTGGTCCCAATGACCCAACTGTTCACGGCGAGGTCAATAGATTTTTGAAGACTTCACCCGGTTGTATTGTGCTGGATGAAATCTCAGCAGCGAATATCTCAGAAGCTTTGTTTTATTTTGTGTTTTTGTAAAGTGGTTGAACGGAACCTCTAAAAAAGAAAACTGCACTAATTGGCCCAATGGGCGGGCTGTAATTAAAGGTCAAAATTTCAGACTTTAAAATTTGACGAGACTTTTGAATCCAAATGGCACGAGACCTGTTACTGGTACACAAATTCAGCTAGCCCTACAAATTACACAGAAAGGCCTAATGAGGAATGATAATTAAGATAATTAAAGGTCAAAGCTTCAAACTGTGAAAGGCTGTAGCTGCTGATGCACTCTATGTTCAGTGAAGATGAAACTCGGGCCGGTGACATTGGATAAATGTTGAAAATGTATGCTTTTCGTGCTGCATATTTGTACACATTCACACCTGTGAGCGCACACAATCAGCTGCTGATCCCAGAGAAGCGAACGCAGCTGGGGGTGAAATCAAACACTCAAGGGCATCCTCTAAACTGTAGCTTCATGTGTCACATATTCACAGAGATTCAAAATGACAGCTTCTAATCTTCAGCCAGTATCTGTCTACATATCCGTGTCACTTTCTCTCTTTTTTTTGGTTTTTCATTTGAAGCCATACCTTTTGGCTGTTTAACTAAAGAACAGTGTGGCGCCATAGATCCCTCTTGAAACACTTGGCAACTGCAGAGGTGTCATTTCCTGCTATTGCCTCAATGTTACACAACAATGTGCTGCCTTGGGATATAATCCTCTCTATCCGTTACACAAAAAGAATCATATTATTGCTGCGGTGCATACAAATTCACACTCGCACTTAGCTGATGAAGCGGGGAGTATGTGAATTTCACCAAAACAGTTTTTTTTTTTTTTTTTCCGGAAACTGCACATTTCATGGCTCGCTCGCCGTCTTCCCAGAAAGTGAGCCGTACGTAGCTGCACCTCAATGAGTTATTCATGATAGCCCTCTTGTCTGTGGGAGCGCTGTTGAAATTAGCACAGACATTTATAGTTTCAGCTTTATTTGAGCATTTCGGATTAACAGATGGAGACACCCACCACTACAACCCCCCCCCCCCCAGTCTCTCGTCCTCTCACAGAACCTATTTGTGATATGTTTCAGTGCAACGTGCAAACTGTGCATTAGACACACGTCCCAGTGGGAGTGTTAACGTCTGTGTGTTATACTGTAGGTACAGTGTGCGGTGTGATTAGGTTCAAAGCACCTAATACTAGGTGTTGCATAATGAATGTGCTCTTTGGTGGTGCATGCTTTGTGCTTTTGTTTGTGCGTCTCTTCATGTATATGTGTGTGCGGTAACACACACTTGGCACCACAGCAGACCACAGCCCACTGGTCCATCTGGGCCTCCCTACAGTGCATTTTGCAGTGAGATAATCCCCCCACTGCCTCGTCCTCCACCTCCCTCAGCTTCACGGCTCTCTCTCAACCCCCCCACCGAATCTCTTCCACAATGCCAGCAGCGCCGGGGAAGCAGCCAGCCGGGGTGGTAAGGGAGCCTGCCAAGCTCCCATGTCCCTCTCTACTAATGCCCAGTCTGCTGAGGAGGCCCAAGAGCCTCGGCTACTGCTGGCTTGTCCACGCTAATCCTCAGATCTCAAGGTGAACACTGTGCGAGCGCTGCCAGTGGAGCCGGTGAAAGTCTGCAGCTTACGGTTGAGACTGGAGCTCCTGATAGAAACTGAGCCCTTAAGTTTGGAGACTCAAATGCTTGGGGTGAAAGGGATTCTGGTGGTAGAACATGGCTGTGACAGCTGTAGAAGCCAGTCTGGATAAGACAACTCGTGTCTCATAAAAGTTACTTTCAGATGCAACTAATTTGCATGAGCAAAAACGTTTTGTAGGGAATGAAATGCCAACTGGATTATATTCTATGAATATACAGAGGAAACATTTAAACTGAAACTACTCATTAACATTTGTATGCTTATGTTTAGACAACTCAAAGCAGAGATCATGATGGTTAGATTTAAAAAAAAGTCACATTGACCTTTTCAGCGTCTAATCTAAAACGCTATTAGGTGTTTCAGCAGGTGAAACATAATGCCACATGGGTGCTGTGTTTTGAGGCCTGAAAAAATATTATTTATAATACTGTCAGAAATTAAGTTGTGAGTAGACTTTGTGCAGGAGACATGATGAAACTGAAGTGATGATGCATCAGAGGCTCACAGATATTGATGCACAATCAACATTTAATTGCCTTGCTCTGTTGCCATGATATAAGTTTGCCATCTCTACAAGAACTACTGAGCTTTAAACCAACAAAATTGAGTGACTACACAGTGACACTTTAAAATGAAGTAAAGACCTTTATCATAGGTGTAATCCTGACGCACATCAGTCTGAAATCTTGTGCAGAGGAAGTCTTCTCAGCGGCTTGTTATCCTTGCTTATCCCTGAGATCAGTGTTATCTCTGCTCTGATGGGATCAGTGTCCAGCGTCTCAGATTATAGAGACAGACATTGAAACGATGGCATGTCATGTTGGAGAGTCACACTGCTTAGATCACGCCGGGTTCAGTGCCGCCGACCTCGTCATTTTTTTGGACAGCTGCGCTGCTATCAGATAAGCCTTTGAAGCAACATGCTTTCAACATCCTAACGACACTCACGCGCTCGTTTTCTCGTTAGCCGACCATGCCAGTGACAAGAGTCAGGTTAGCTGCAAGGACTTTATTCTGAAGGGTTTAGCAGTCGTTTGTTGGTGTAATGAAGTCATGTGATTAGGGTTCAAAGGAGTTAAACATGCAAGCTTCAGTGTGTGTGTGTGTGTGTGTGTGTGTGTGTTTGTCTACCTATATATACCTATTAATATTTAATTATTGGGGCATTAAGTGAGATTTAACTTCCTTAGATACAAAAGTGACCATAATAATTCTCCGTTAGTTATTGATCAGGACCGATTACTCTGCCATAAGGTGACATTTATGGCTTTCATGTCTTTTTCTTGTTATAGAGCCAAAAACTGAATAGCACTGCAGTATTATTGCCACTTCTTACTGGTAAAATATCGCCTCTCCACCAGATCTTGGCTCTGAAAAGAGAGAACGTTAGCTTGTGTCATTTACAGGCCACTTAAGCTCAAGAGAACAGGGGGAGTGGTGAGCCTGAGCAAGAGACCTGTTTTAGAGATTTATGTCGCTTTCTAATGGAGTTTGTTAAAGACCTATAATTACTTAACCTTATGTTCTCCCTGACAATAAAGTATCTGCTCCTCTGCAGTTTGCACCAGTTTTTCTCAAGCTTGTTATGGTCATAGTGAACATGTGACTGGTGGGTCACTGGTTTCAGTCCAGACTCACATAGGGAAGAAATGATGAGACATGCGATCTATTTATCATCTTCCATTGAATTTTGCTATTATATTTGATATCATTTTATGGAATCTGATCCACCTTTTTGTTGTGTAAATTAATGCTGCAGAAGCAGGACTGATGCTATGTGCAGGCACCTTTCAGCTGATTTGCAAGGCAGACTGCAAATCAAAGTGCCGACCGTCACTGACGCCCATCTGAAAAGAAATACAAAATGCTTAGTTTGCAGCGTGGTCTTGCAAAGATCAGCCGCTTTGACATTTGCATTGCGACTTGCAGCTGGAAAATAGACCCCTGCTGTATGTTTTATTTGTGCTTTGCAGGGAGATTCAGGTGCACAATGTCTGCACATGAAGAGACAGATTTCTATCAAAATCATTTCTGAATGGAAATTATTGAGACTGCCAGATGAAAGCATGGCCCCAGTTTGACTTCCTACTATTTTACAGCCCATCAGCTGGACTGGCAAATGTCAGGTCAATATCTGAGGGCAGTTTGCTTATCTTATCTAATATGTCGGTTGCTTTCCCCTGCTGAAGTTGCCCTTAGGCAAGGCAGTTAATGCTCTGTGGCCTCTGTGCAGTACATCTCCAGTAAACAGTGCACTGCTGAAGAGATGTTTACAGACAAATAAAGGTTATAAAATGAGCTACCTACCCTCTGCTTGAATTACAGTCGCCTCGGTGCCACAATCACAGCATAATTAGACTGTAATGAAATATAATGCATGGAGAAACTCTCAGCTATTACACAGAAAACAGCTAATATTGTGAGAAGGATAGAGGCATGTTTCTTGCTACTGGCTGTTATTTTATGTCAGGCTGTTATAAATCTGACCAGTGTCTATAAAAGCCGCATCAGTAGAACTGGAATAATCTGTGTCGAATATGGTTTAATGCTGTTACTTATCTAATTACACCGCGATTACAGGAATTTTAGAGCTGTGTCCCAAAGCCTTCCTGCATTTCTAAATCAGTTAGTGTACATGACACAATTTTTCAAAAGAAGCCTTCCTCACGACCTGCCTGAAGCTCTCTGAGATACAGAGAGGATTCATGGGACAAACTGTGGTGATACCTCATCTCAGGCTTGTGCACATAAACTGGAAAGCAGTTAATATGGTACAAATAACTACAGAATCAATCACAGGCGGGGAAATGTGTTGTTTTGGCAAGACGGAGACATGTCGAACAGGACGCCGTTTCGTTGTCATGTGTTGTCCAAGATTTGTTTACCATATTGTCCTCGTTGTAACATGGGTAACATAGGGAGGATGAGGGGAGGGTGTGTGAATATTCTGCTGTGATTCGACTTTTTCTCGAGAGTGACAAATGACAAGATTATGGAATTTGGTGGCCAGCTGTCACATCAGTCAGACGAGCCAGACAAGAAATGGTTCTATAAATGATTCATTCTTCCTGGGTGTCTGCCGGAAGGATGGACGGATGGAGGAACCAAAGCAACTGAGCCATGACTCCCTCCACTACCACCACCACCACCACCTCCTCCTCCTCCACCTCCTCCACCCCACATCAAAGTGTGTGTGTGCATGTGTGTGTGGGTGGACGGGCGGGTGGCAGTGCTGCACATTCTGCTCATCCATCTGGTTCACTTGGGGAATGACAGTTCGACATTTGCATTAGAAAGAAAAGGGGAAAATGTTACCAGGCTCGATTTGAATTGCTTTCCGCCCCGATTCCAACCTCGCTCACATCTCACGTTTGGAGTTTTTTTTTGTTTTGTTTTTTTTTTCATAGCCAAGCAGAACAAATGTTTCACTCACTCACATCACAACAAATGAAACTCCTTCCACTTTGATTTAGTGTGATATGAGCGAGGAGAAGTGACATACGTACTGTGGGCAAATTTCCAAGCCTGTTTCCCTCTCCTGAGCCCACCGCATTATGTATATTTCTGCCTGATGTAAACAACATCAGCTGGAGAGCTTTTAATGCATTATTCAAGGTTGTACTATTAATTAACTCGGTTACAATGAAAAGGTCCCTTTTTAAGTTCAGACTCAGCAGCGTTATATCACTCCTGTAAAACATTAAAAGGAATGTGAGGACGACTTGTAGCATGAATATGATCAAATTGCTTTTGATTCACCTCACGTTTGTTGTTGAAAAAGAACCAATTGGAAAAAAAAAAAAAAGGCAGCATCCTTGGAAAAGATTTCCAGCATTTTTGTGAGTCCAGCTCGGGGCAACGCAAATCTCATCTTGTATTACTTTTTCATTTCTCGTCTATTTTGCACCTGCCAGGTGAGAACTTTTGTTCATGATATGATAATGATGCTGAAGGATTTATCATAGTATCTTGCATACAAAATGTGCCCCGCCAGTGTGGGCTTACGCCAGAAATTAATATAAAACGGATGCAGAATGCAGCACACACAATTGTTTCTATAAAAAGTCATGAAAATAAAGACCAGTGTCCTAGAAGTCACATAATAAGATTATTAGAAATTTAATACCCACTGGAAAAATAATACGCTGAAGTTTTTCCATAAATATTCATACTCTGCATAATACAAAAAAATAAATTTTAAAATGTCCTATAACTTGATTTTTTGAGACAAAGTTTGCAAATAAAAAAACATTAAGAATAAACTAGACAAGTTAGGGTGAAATGATTTGGAAGTTTCTTTTGTAATTTTATATTTACACTAATTTCTATGTGAACTGTGCCAGAGTTTTGTACAACCAATTTCTTGAGCTCAGTTTTTATAATTGTTTTTCAATAGTGGGGCAAACCTATTGTCTATTTTATGACTAAAGCATGAAAGTTTCAGTAAATAATCTTCATCCCCAAAGGTTTCATTTCACCTTGAGAGGCGACTTTGAGAGGTCATTGACCTCAGTGTTGCAATATCCCAGTTTGTATCTCATCACTCTCCATCATAATCATGTTGTCAAAATTGCACTTTTGTTCTAATATAGCTCATTTTATGCCTCAGCCACGGCCCAGTGACAAAATATTGCTTCTGACCGTTGCCATAGCAACAATTTTGACAACTTCCACTGTATTTTCTACTGTTATTTGGAGTTACACAACTGTCATTCATTGGACATTTAAAAAACCAAGTAATTCTAGCTGACAGAAAAACATTGCTGTTTGTTTTTTTGTTCAGTTTTTTACAGTAGCACAGTTTTTCACAGGACAAGAAAATCAAACTGGTCGGAAAAAGAGAAAGCATGCAGACAAATTGTGATTTACTATTGACGGCTGATGACCTCGAACACTGTGGCCAACTTTTCTTGGCCACGAAGCTTGTTGACTGTCAACACATTGGCTGAGTTTCCCTGGTTGTTTATCTCATAGAAAATAGATGCTCCTTCCAATTGTTCATCACCATGTTGGTCACAGTGTTGACGTGTGGTTAGTGTTGAAAAATCCAAGGGAAAAAAGTTCGAAATTCGTAAGTAATGTCGTATTTAAGATGCATCATATTGCAGCTTAATACTGCAGATAGTTCTTTGCATGTATGTCATTCATTCAACCGTTTAATTCCACCGCTCCTGGCAGCGGAGGAGAATAAAAGTGCTCCTGCAGATGGAGAAGAATTACACTTTGGATTGTGGCCAGTGTACAGCAGTAGTTCAATAATCGTGCGGTAAAAAGTGGGACTTCCACCAAGGATACATCTGTACTGTCACACTCCTTACTGAGTTAAATCAATGACGAGAGCTTTGTCTTCTGTCGCGTCTCTTCAGGGGTGGACCTGCTCGCTCTGTACAACCACCCGCCCGTCCGAGAGGAGCACGTGAAGTACTACACTGTCAAGGTGCCGCTTCGCGTTCAAAACTGTGACGAGGGTGTCAAAGGCGTGGAGGCCAACTGGCTGGACCACATGACCCAGCACTTCAACAACGGAGCCTCGCTGGTCGATGGATACTTCCACCTGGGCAACATGAACGGTAAGGCCGTGAAGAAGATCACTGCACGACAACACTCTGCGTTTTTAACACCCACACATAATGTTTTTAGGTTACATCTCACACACAGTCAAAAAGATGAGAGGTTAGTAATGTAGAGAAAATACAACTAACGCAGTATACTTTTATTCTCCTTCAATATTACAGTGGCCTTCACTTTTGTTCTTGGCTTGTTGCTGCAGGATTGTTCGTACTCTCATTGCTCAGACTCTTACAGCTATTAAAAGTCAAAGAGGTTCCCAAATTGCCTTTTTTTTTTTCCTATCACAGATTCACCAGTAAAATTGTCAACATCAGGCAAATGCAAAATCCACGTCAACCTTTCTAAAATAAAAAGCCTGTGGCAGGTAATGATGCACCTTGCCCTGCGTGGCATTAATTATGCATTAGCTGGCATTGGTTTTCCACCACAAAACAATCAGAACATATTTGAATAATACTTGCATTTGACTGATAATACTTCCTCTGACAGTGTGAGGAAGTGGAGAAGTCCTGCAGGATTTAGTTTTTTACTGCAAACAAACACTAGATAACTGCAGGGGTAGCGGTTATCATACAGTATGTTTGAAATTTCAAGCTACATTAAGCATATTACAAACTATATGAAAGGGTTTACTCATAGTGCCAGAGCCACTGAGAATCAATACCCAACTCTGCAGCTTTACACGGCTTTTAACATATTTCATCTAATCGTTTCGGAGCCTCTGGTCAACGTAGACTTTAAAATTGGGTCTTACAACACAAGGAAAATGTAGGCAGCTATTTCTACAACAAGCAAGCTTAGAGGAACCAAGTCTGCAACAACTGTCCAAAAGTAGAAAACGATGTATTCAAGTGAATGATGAAAAGTTGAACGACCCAGATTTTTCTTTGAGGAGTCTGTGGACCAAACTGGAGCCAGAAATCTTGTGGATATTGGACATTAATTCATTAGCTGCTCAGAAACTTGAACCAGCCACAACAGAATAATAAGATGATGATGTATCAGAGCCGTTCTTCTGTGGATATATTTTGTCTTACTGCCCCTAGTGGTAAAAATAGCTTGATGCACACACAGTATTTTTTAGCCCTGGTAGCAGCAGGGCTCTAGGGATGGCAATTTCAGTCATTCAGTTGGTCACTTTGGTCCATGGTTATCATTATACCTGCTGAACGTTAGCATGTTATCGTTAGCGTGCTGACAAAACTGTGACCCTCCCTTGTACGTATTTAAAAAGACAGCTCAGTGTTTAGAGTCCACCCATAAATTGCTGTGAGGCTGGATGACGGCAACATGAAGGAAACTCTGGATTGCTAGAGGTGTTGATGAAAACTGAAACACTGCATCTTTTACAAACGACAATAGGATGAACTCCATTTCTCTAGTGTGTCGTGCAGCTGCAATGCCTCCTTTGAGTTCAACGAGCTGTTTGGTATCCTCCTCTCAACTATTTCCTGTTTGGGTTTTCCTCTTCCATCAGACCCTGGCGGCTCCATGCTTCACTCTGACACTGGAGAAATACGCCAACCAGAGTAAATAAGAGTCATAATTCATTAATCTGGGAAAGTGAACGCCTCAGCAAGTCTGAAACACAGATAATTAACCTGATAACAAATTAGTGCCTCCTTGCATATTTTATGTCCTGAGAATGGAGTAATGAAGTGTGTTATTATGATTACATTTTTTCTGCCTATTAGAGTCCTCTAACATATTTTGCATTTTCCATGCACTGCTAAGATCCGAGTCTCATGAACAGTGAAATTAGTGGGTAGGGTAGGAAGCAGATCAGCTGCATTATGAAACCGTCTCGCCCTTCACTGACTTATAGGACTGAATGCAGCACACAGCTTAAGCTCCACCACTTTAGAAAACAGACAACTTTACAGAGGTGAATGCTGCACTTTGTGGATTTCGGTCTCTTGAGAGCAGCTGGCAGTGTGACATCAAAGCGGCATCCCGTTTGTTGTTAGCAGCTAATTACACCAAACAGCCGTGCAGCTCAGGGCTTTAGAATCAGTATCCATTCCTGCCGTCTCCATTTTTAGCAACTTCTTTGAGACCAGTTTTCTGAATTCGTGATGAGACGCTGAACACGATGCAAGGGACCATCTCAGCCCTATAAACATCAAGGACATATCTGACAGCGGAACAACAGACTAAGGGACATGGGCTGACAGAGACAGGCGCACACAGGATGGTAGATGGCAGTGACAGGCTTGTTTTGAGATATAGCGTGCTTCAGCTTGTCACGCACTGACAGATACATGTGTGGTCTAATGAGTGTAATTGGGCTTTTTTCCAAGACTGACCTTCTTCTGCCCCTTTTTTTTTTTTTTTTTTTTTACTTTTATCTTGTTGTACTATTATTGTTTTTACACTGTTGATCACTTGAAGGAAGTGTTGCTGAGCCTCGCTGCTTTTTATCGTGGATGTCAATGTCAGTCGTTCCACCACTTTCCACCGTATCTCAGCAGCGGTTGGATGGATTGTGGGGAATTGTGGTGCAGATACATGGTGACTTCCCCTGACTTTGGATTAACGCCATGGCTTTGAGTGAAACAGCTATTAAATGGATTGTCATGAAATTCAGTACAGATTTTCATGTTGCCCTTTGAGAGGAAGTGTAATAACTTTAATAACCCCTTCACTTTTCATCTAGTGTTCATCACTTCAACATTTAAATTCGTCTCACGCTTTGATTTATGACCTGTCATGACTCCCGCCCCAGTCCCGTTCATTTGGGTCACTCCTGCCCCTGTCTCCTGCCATGTGTCTATCCAGCCAGCAGATATCTCCGGACTTGATCTGACTCCCCACACTCACCTGCACACCTGTTCACCCGGCCTGATTCACCTACCTACACACCTGTTCCCATTTTCCCTCATCGCTTCCCTACATATAAACACTAGTTCAGTCCCTTTGTTCCCTCTGTCGAATTGTCTGCCTTCGTTCCTGCTTTTGTCCTGCTCATGTTCCTGTTGTGTTTCCTGTGAATCTGCTATCTGTGTTCATTCCCCTGTTCCCTGTTTGCCTGGATTCCTGCCTGCCATCTTGTCCACCCGTCTGAATGTAAACCTGTTCATCCGGCCGCCTCCGTGCGAGTCTTGCATTTGGGTCCGTTCCTGCATTCCTGGCTTCAGCCTTAATTGACATGCCCAGATACTTGCTGGAAACCAGTGATGATAGTCCCATTAGCCTCAGGACCTCAGCTGGTCCTGGTTTGAACCAGAGACTCTGAGCTCAAAATCCTGTGAACCTGCCTGATTGGGAAGTTTAAAGAAGCTGTAATGCTGCGTAATCTGAGGCAGATTATAAATTCCAATTTGAGAATACAACAGATTTCCCATCAGTCATCAGTCTCAAATACAGTATAGATATATTTCCGTGACAACGCTGTCGTGCTGTGAGTCAACAGTAATCAGTAAAGGTAAACTATAAAATGACAGTTATTTATTATGAGGCTATTGCTACACAGAGACCACAATTCAGTGTTAGTTTGAAATGAATTATCCATGCAGCTCTGAGCTTTAGTTTATAATCAAGCTCTCAAAGGAAAATGCAGCTTTCATATAAATGACCTCAGTGTCCTGAATTGTTTGTTGCATCTATACTTGATTTTCTTGTCTCTCTGCTTTTACCCTGCTTACATATATGTACAAATATGTAAAGTTTACCCCTATCATAATTATTTAGATTCATCTGCTTTTTAAACCTTTTAAAACTTTTAAACCTAAAATGCATTTTTAGAATTAACTGATGAGTTGGATACTTGGATATCAAACCTTTAAATATGACAAATTAATGTTTTAAAAACTATAAGAGCCTGTTGTTGTTATTGTTGTTGTTCTTGTTCATATCGGTACTTGTTGACCTGGAGTCCACAGATTATTTGGCTTTTGTTTCAGAATGTACGTCACTGCTCATGTTCCTGCAGTCAGGCCACAAGTCTGGCCTTTTCCTAAATCTGCTACCTCTCTATTGTCTCTGACAGTCAGCTGTGTGGCGTGGTCCAGAGGGACACACACATGCACAAAAACACACCCAAAAACACACCAGGTCCCGATGCTCCTTCTAAAGATGTGTTTCCATGGTGAAGCCGGATGAGAAAGCATTAGGGTGCATTGTTTGCATACACGTGTGTGTGTGTGTGTGTGTGTGTGTGTGTGTGTGTGTGTGTGTGTGTGTGTTTTGCAGGCAGTGCCACAGTGCGAATGAATCTTTAATGTGTGTCTTATGACATTGGGACCTCTACGCAGCTTAGGATCTGTGAAATTCAATATCGCCATAATATCTGACCCTGTGGCTCAGACGAGGTCTCTGCTCACTGGTGCCACACAAGACTAGACTTACACACACACACACACACACACACACACACACACAGGCCTACATATGAAGTATCCATATATATTTACAAAGACACTCAAATACACTCATTTATACACATTCTACCTGAATGCAGTGTGAAGCGCGGTGTGGGGGGTGTTGCGTTTGTTTACTAAAGAACTGACTGTAATGGTGTTGACAGGGAGTTTGCCTTTGTTACTTGTATAGCTTAAGCTATCTCCAGAGCCACAATGAGGATTTGTAGCCCTGTTGTGAGACATTGAGCTATTCATACGCATGACAGTCAGCCCTCACTGGTTTCTAAATTTGGGCAAAGCCAGTGGAGGGAGACAAAAAGAGAGAGCGAGCGAGAGAGCGAGAGAAAGAGATGCAGGGAATATGAAATTCCAATAAGGTTTTTTTTTTTTTTTTTTTTTTTTTACTGTGAAATGAAATTCACGGAAGGGAAATGATGTGCAAGCGTTTCTCTGAGACAAAAGTTGACGAGAGGTGGAATTAGAACTGAGGGCCCTGGGATGTCTGTGCATGTCTGTGAGCATGAGCATCTCTACAGGATCCACGTCGTGTTTGTTGTGTGGTAGCGGTTCTGTGTATAGGATTTGACAGCACAGCATGAGATGCAGTTATAAGACAGGTTGACAGTGTTAACTTAAAGCATGTATATATATTTAGGCATATACAGATGCACCCAGGTGGTTGAAGTGACACCTCTCGAAGGTTGTATGATCAGTTTGTCTCAAGTGAGAAAGCAACTGCAGGAATCGCTGCACATTAGTTCGGATAAACACTCACAAAACTTGTTAGATGGAAGAATAGATGACGTTCACGGTGGTGGCGCTCCAGTGAATGGCAATAGAGGAACCTGCTCTCACTCAACTGTATGAAAAAAGTGATAATCCCTTAGTTATACACCAGTGCCACAGTGGGAAGAAATCCATTAACTTTAGAGATGATCCACAAATACTGATGTGGAGGGGCAAGTTACGGCTCCGGAGGTGGAGCAGGCTGCTCACTAATGACAGGGTTGGCAATTTAACCCCAGTTCCTTCGTTCCTAATGTCAATTTGACCTTGAGCAAGACACTGACCCTGAAATTACTCCCACTGTTTGGACACTGAGTCAGCTGCTCTACTCCCCCTGGTCGGGCCAGCACCTTGCATCACCTTCCATCCATGTGTGTGAACGGGTGACCGAGAGGCTGCTATATGCACTCCATTAACTATTTATCAAGCTTTACACTGACAGACTCTCCTCTGGAAGTTATTTTTTTCTCCAACACAAGCTTGAGTCTCAAAAATGCATTTATCTTGAAATTTCACCGTGCTAAGAATGTAAAAACCCGTGTGCACGACGCAGCGCGGATGGAGGATAAATCCCTTTGACAGCTGTAACAAAGCAGATTTCCCATCGTCTATATTTCTGTCAGCTGACTCCACAGTGCAGTTGAATGCATGAATGAACACCTATCGGTTCACTCTGGTCTGTCACGAAGACGAGCTCATTTGTAGTATGAGAACATATCAAGTGTAAGTTAGTAGGAAATGGAAATTAATGAATATTAATAAAGATTAAAAATTCATATTTTGGAAACGTATATTAATAAAGCAGCTGCACCATTTCTAACATGCTTTCCCACTTGGAGATTTCACTCCTGTATCCTCTGAATTCAGGCCAAAGCAAGTGGACTATACATTTGCAAACACACCCTGGTCTCTAGTCACCATGCTGTCCATCCTCTGCCCTTTCAGCTGAAGTCTGCCCGGTAACCCACAGGTACCAGCCTGCAGCTGCCAAATCTTTGGCTCCGCTGGGAAGAGCCACATTCAGTCCACACACATTAGACACCCCGGTCTCTTTCTCTCTCTGTCCCTCTCTCTGGATGTCCACTCGTCCTGTTTGAAATATAGATAAGCTGTCAGCAGCCTGTCTCCAGTTCTCTGAGGCTGTTCCTGGCACACATGTTTAAATTATGTCAGCAGACGTGACCTGGGGCAGGGTCACTTTCCAGCTCGGCAGCGGTCAGCTGGACTCGAACACAAACCCACTAATCTTTGCACACAGATCTTTTTGTGAATGCGGCTCACTTGGATCAAATTATGGTGTAAATTTTAAAGTAATAATCCACAGTACTGTGACATTGATAAATATCTAGTTTAGTGCTCTTTCCTCTTGCAGTGCTCCATTTGGAGAGGACAGCAGCTATAGTCAGCTTCAATAGATTCAGTTGCTACGGAGCCCGGTGGTGAAACGGTCATAGCAAATACAAAAAACATGAAAATGAACATAGAAACGTCTCGATCCACTTCAGTGGCATGGGAGGGATTTCAGACACACCTATTTTTCTCACCATTGCAAGCAGCTATTTTTCCATTCAGTTCTGAAGTTAGGAGATTCTTGAACTTTGAGTCCATTGCAGTGAATACGAAATTGTTTGTCAAAATGATATTATCTCAGCATGTAATTCAGTTGTTTGAAAGTACTGCAGTGCCCTCTGATGAAGCTTTATAACCCTGTAAATGTCTCTATATGATGTTGTTTATATAATACAAATGAGCAGTCATCACAAACAAAATAATCAATATTTCCAACCAATGACTTCAAAAAGAGCTTCAGACAGCCAGGCATTCATACGTCATAATCTATGGAACCTCAAACCTTGTCAGTACAGAGAGTGAGAGTTAGCATTAGCACAACCACTAACACGGTGTCAGCCACTGCCAATTGCAAGCTAATAAATTAAAGATGCTAACTGGGCTAACCGCCAACCTCTCATTTTGGTGCACAACAAACAGGGTCTGACTGAGGCTCCAACATGTGCCAGAGTCTCTCAAATATTTCCTTCGCTAGCTGTTTCACCTGTTGACCTCACGCGAGCAGTGGTGGGTGGGGCCTGATCCAGAATTTCTCAATGAGGAAGTAAGAGTTGCTGTTGCTTGTTGATGTTCACTTTTTATGTGCTGCTTGGAACATGGGGAAATACATTCAAAGATCTAACATGCTAAAACACCTGTATGGCCCTTTAATCAGTTCTATCTGTTAATTAAGGTAAATCAAGGAAGGCTACGAGTCTTATTTCCTGCCTGGGGTGAAAAACTTGTAGGTGATGTACACCTGTAAAACTTAATCTGGGTAGAAAGTATTTCTGATGCACAGCTGCAGACAGCTTCCGTCCTGTGCGCTCTCTCTGCCGTTTGCTCATTCAAAGCGCTGTGTGCTAGAAGCCGATGTACAGCAGCAGGTTTGCGAACATGTCCATGAATATTAGGAACACACAACTTCCGAGTGTCAGTCTGTGTGTGTCAGACTCTGGATGTCTGTTGGTGATGCTCTCCTCTGTCATTTGGGTGCTGATTTAAGCCGCTGCATGTCACCCGGTGTCACTTGCTGTCACCCTGATATCTGACCCCCCCCCTCATCCTACCATTTGCCTCTGTGTCTTTCAGTCCCAGCGCTGTCACTCCCTGTTGTTAGTGCGACTGTATTTGCATGCCTCGCCCTGCGACCTTGAGTATGTGAGTCACGGAGGGATGGAAAACAATTTTACTGAGGGCGCACGGTGGTTTTTTTGCAAGTGTAAACAACTTATTCTCAGTCGGCCCGGCGGCTGCTCAGCTCAGCTCTCAGTCAATAGGCGCAAGATAATGTTTATTTGTGCACGCAACCGGTGCATTCCCCTGACGGACTCAACGCCCCCAGCTACCAACTCCTTCTCTTCCACTTCCCTCGTTCTCTCTCCTCTGCTGAGCGTCTTGTCTGCATTATCACCAGAGACAGACTTCCCCCTGTAGAGCAACGGCGCAACCCTGTGTCGATCTCACCTGAGTGATCCCTGTTGCGCTGGCAGGGAACCGATGGAGGGCCTCGGCGCCTCGCGTTTTCCGAAAAAGAATTCTTTCCAATTATACGGCAAGCGAGGAGGCCTGACGAATGAGGCGGTGGAGCGGTGGACTGAGGGGGGGAGGGAGGGGAGGGTGAGGAAGAGAAAAGGCAAAGGGGCGGGATGGAGGTGAACAACGACAATGTCTGTTTTGAGAGAGCCAGTAGACGTCTGAGAGATGTCTTCAATTGAGCGCACACGGGTCCTAAATGGGTTTTCAGGGAGGGGGGAAATAAAAGAGCCTGTCATCCCTCCACTCCATCTCTCCCTCTGTCTCACCCACTCCCTCCTTCTCTTTCTATCTTCCTCTCCCTCCCTCTCTCTCCGCAGGCTCTCCAGCCGCCTCTCATCCCCCTATTATTAGGGCCCAGTAATGAAATGTGGAGTGTCTCGTATTGGTGCCCGGGCCCCGGCAAACTGTATTAGTGTGTAAATGGTGTGGGAGTAATGAGAAAGCACTAAGGCCGGCCGGGAAGACTGGACCATGGGGCGTGTATTTGGTGTGTACGTATGTGTGTGTGTGTCTGTGTGTGTCTAAATGTAATGTGCATGTGCATCAAAGGAATAACAAGAGACATTGGGTGGAAAGGGGTCCCAGCTCATGGGGGCCAGATGCCAATCCTGCGATTGTTATCCTGCAACAGAAGAGAAGCTTAGAAAATCTATTTGGTCAGCAGCACACAATCTCACTAGTGGCCCGAAGCATCAACGTCAATGTCTTTATGTGGCTCACTTAATTCAAGTCTTTTTAAGGTGAATTATGCAGGCTTAGCAAAAGGATTTATGCTTTAATGCCTTACGGACCGACTTCATTAAATCAGTGGCTACATTTCGCCATCGCTAAAATCTGTCCATCTTTTTTTCAAAGTAATGGTTTTCAGTCGTGATCCTCGGGATGCAGAGTACTGCTGGTTTCAAATCCTATCAGCTATTGAATTCACCTTGCTTCCTAGTTGTAATTAGCCTCTGTTTGGCTGTCAAGCATGAAAACCAGCAGGGCTCTGGGTCCTGAAAAACACTGATGTAGCGCATAATGTCTCCTCTCCTTTTTTTAACATCCCAGAAGGGGAATACCTGCTCCTTTCTTTTACACTGTCTCCCTGCATAATGTATAAAGTGCACATTGCTCACACAAATGGCTCACACCACTGGCTATGTAATAAAGGGTTGTGTGCGAATGTGGCTGACTGATATCATTCCATTTCCTCTGGCCTGGAGGGTCTGAAGGAGCAGCAGAGACAAGACAGACACACTCCATCCAGTAAATACTCTTTTCACGGCTGGATTTTATTATTTTTTTTTCCTCCTTCTCTGCAGATTTGCTGCCTAAGTCGGTGGAAAGTGTCTTCATCTTCCAGGAGGCGAGCGAGGGAGAGCAGAACGCGGCCGCGCCGACATTCGACGCCATCGTAGTGGAGCAGTGGACCATCATTGATGTGAGTGGAGAGGTGTTTCTTTTTGTCACAGTGTCACAGGTTTTGCTCTCTCTGCCACCAGTGGAGAGGAAAATCTGAGGGAATTTGTGCATCGTTTTTTTTTTTCAGCACATACTGTACGTGCTGCTGGTTTGGAAAGGCAGGTTCACTAAACATAATACCCGTGTTAAAAGATGCATAGTGGCACATTTAGCCAGGGCTGGGTCATGTTGTGATGATATTATCATGTTGCCACTCCGATCCACCTTTCAGTCTCCCGCTCAATAAATCAAAGAAACAACCTGAATGAATGAGTCATAAATAAGAAATAAGGAATACTGATGTTCCCATACGGGGCAGGAAGCGTCACTCATTGGTTTGATGGGAAAGAAAATGCTATGGCCTTTCCAGGCACCAGATCTCAGCTCGATTGAACTCTTATGGGAGATCATGTGTTAGACAACATCAAAACACCAAATGAGGTAATATCTTTTTATGAGTGTGGTGTTTGATCCCCCCAGTGTGTTGGTCCGTCCTATAACTTGTCACCCGTCAGTAATGCTTATATCAGTATTGTAGTATTCAACGAATACATTTAACTTACATCACTCAGATCTATTTAGAGGACAAATCCACTTTAAGAGTCTGCTGGTCTTGTATTGAAATCAGTTGTCACTCGGATATTGTGCCTTCCCGCCCCCTCCTCGCTCTTCAGCCAACCATTCTCCCAGCAACCCGAAAGGCAAATCTGGCAAATCTCAATTTATGGGACATGTGTTGCGGTTGCTTGTCTTATCAGGAGCAAACAAGCCCTTATCTGCCCGCCGATTAGTGTCTCTCCTCAGCACAAGTTCCAAGTTGGAAATTGATTTCTGTCTGAGTTGAAGGGTTTGCAGCCATTTCATTGCTGATCATCTGTATGTATGCGTGTGTGTGTGTGTGTGTATGTGTGTGCATGTGTCTGCAGCTGTATGTGCATGTGTTTGTGTCCGCTAAGTGTGTGCGGATGGGTCGGGTTTTCGTGTGTCTGTATGTGTTTGCCGATGCTATCTCAGTAATTGAATTTAGACTTTTTGCGGCCCGTGGCTTTCCAAGTGTGAAAGGAGACTTTTGTCCCCAATATGTGGCTCTCTGATTGTCCAGCGCGGCGCTGATGGCCACATGTGCCAATAAAAAAGGCTCAGTCGCCTGGCGGCAGTCATCTGGCGGCAGCAGCAGCAGCAGCAGCAGTAAGACCTCCCCTCCTCTGAGATGAATGGTAATGTGGTTACAGCTTAATGGATTTCAAAGCCTCCTCAGAAAATTTCGGCGAACGACACTGAACCGACACCCAGTGTTCCAGGAGATCCAATCAACTGTTCCACTGGGACTTCATCAAAAACTGTTTCACCCGAGCGATCTGCACCATGCCAAATCAGATTGACAACACACTCTTTCACAAAGGGCGACCAGGGTCTCACATCATCCCCATTCATTCATTGTGATAACTGCCGAAAATTGATATGCAAAGTATCCTCACAGCTCATTATTGTTTCAGTGCTGGGATAATTACAATGAAAAATAAGGCTGAATATTGATTGCGGGTATTTTTTTTTCTATTTCTTCTTCTTCATATACGTCATCATCTTTTCTCCTTAATGCTTTACAGTTTTATTTATCAAAAAGTCTGACAGGTGTTTGGATGTATGAAGCTTACAGCGGAAGAGGCAAACAAGCTGTTTCACAGAGGGCATGCAATCATTTACATTGTCGTAAAGTGGGAGTGTATCATCTCAGGGACGGTGTCTGTTCGCTTTCAAGGGTTTTAATTGTTTCTCCAATAAATGATTTACAACTAATCAGAAGATCTGCTTGTGAAAAGTGCAGAGGTTCTAACGGCGTCAGTTCTACAGGTGGAATTTATTAAAAACAAAAAAAGGTGACACACATGAACATCAGAGGTGTGGAAATCAACGATATCCGTCATGACAGCGATGCATGGATGGAAGAAGGTGATTCAGGGAGGATGTGAGTTCTAGGAAGCAAAGAGACAGGCTGAGCACAGGTCCGGGAAGGAGCAGGTGAACATCATCAGCTGACCACCCACTCATGTCTGCCAGTCCCCTGCTGGGGTTGGACAGGAGAGCCTCCAAGACTGTGGGAGGGGTGTCACATAAGGCTGAGATCAGTTTGCATCATTAGAGAAAGGTTTGCCATAACAAAACCTTCTTTTCTTTTATTTCAGCGTTTTTATTAGTTTACAAGGTGTTTCTTTTGTGCTTAAAGGAGCTATTTGTAAAGTCTGCTATTGCTACATAGCCAACATTAGCATTAACAGCTTTTTTCTTACCAGTCTAGAAGAAACGTTGCGAGTTCAGCATCAAATTTCATTCCTTTACTCGCCAAGAGCCGTCTCCAGAAAGAAACACCAACGTTAACTGCTGGTTCTGTCGCTGCCTCTCTTCTCTTCTCTGAAATTAGCATGCTAACCTTTCTCATCACTTTCCGATAGCGAGTCACTGAAGCCTCCAACGTGCCCTGAGGTTGTATTACAACCTCTTGTATTATAAAGACAAAACAATGGATCACCAACACCTGCTCCCGGGAAGAAACCGCGTTCGGCGGCAGAGAAAATGTTGAAATAGCCCTTTTAATCAGCCTTGCTTGTAAATTAGGAGAGAGGTCACAGGTCTAATGCAGAAGAACCAGATCATGTGATCACATTTTTAATAAAAAACAAAGCCTGAGTGGAAACACCAGAGTCAAGTGTAACAGCCGGCTGGGTGGAGGGACGGATGTGGATGTGGGGGCTTTGGAGTTGTTTAAAAGCACCTTTGATGGAGTTGTGCTGAGTAACAAAAGCAACAAGTAATATTCTTTAGCTGTTCATTATTTTTTCAATGAGTAATATGTAGTGAGTTATTGATTACGTTTTTTTAGTAACTTGCCCAACACTGGTGAACGAAGACGATACATCTCTCTCTTTTGTAAAAGATCATTTCAGTCATTAAGATGGAACCAAGAGGCTCCCATATGAAATTTAAAAAAACATTTATCTTATACATTAGATTACAAATATTTAGTTTATTACCAAATGATGAAAAACTGGTTCAGTTTTCTTTAAATGCACTGTGATAAGACAGTATTGAAGTACAATGATAAACAGTCAACAACTGCGACAAAAACCAGACGTTGTTACATGTGAGACAAACAAAAACTCATGGGTCGCAAGATTCTGACTTCAAAACAAATCATATCATAAAAGAAAATGAAAGAAGAAGACAAGCGACAAAAAATGAATGTCGAACTGACAAACTAAGATGCAAGTGTTGCAGAAACGGTTTCTGCTAAATGACATCAGATCACAGCCAGGAGGAAAACGGCACAAAAACAGAGAAATGCATAAATAAATTAAAAATAAATTAAAAGCGTACATACAAATAAATGGCTGCATGTCCTCTGCACAAAAATGCCATCAGTGCTAGAGAGCTAATGCAGACATTTCCTGAAGCTTTTGTTTCCCATGAGAAATGAGAAAGAAAACTATTTTGGACAGATGTCCTAAATACATATGAAGATTGTAGCAGTCGCCTGGACACAGTGGGTTTTTTTTTTCCTGAGCAAAATGACCTGAATAGGAGCCATATGGACGGTGGTGACGTGCCTCAAAATGAATAACTCATCAAGGGTCTCTGCTATGAAACTCCAATTAGGACCAGCTTCTCATCTCTTTTTTGTCCTGTGGGAAAATCAATACAGGAGCTGCCATGGAGCTAATGTGCTGAAAGCTCTCTCCCCTATCACCGAGCTTCACAAGAGCAATAACCAAACAAAACATGTCTTCAGACCTCAGCTAGCGCTGCTCTTAATATGTTGGCTCACAATGAGCTGCTGCAGGAGAATTTATTTATCAGGAGGGACAAAGTGCATTAGCAGGAAGGTGTTGTGTTTCAGTCTTTGTGTATCCACATAAAACAGTAAGAGTGCACCAGAGTCACAAAAACACCCGTGTATGTGTGTGTGTGTGTGTGTGTGTGTGTGTGTGTGTGTGTTTTACTAAAAGATAAACTCATATTCACCTCAGTGCGGCTGACATGTACGAGGACTCTGGTGTTTCTAAGACTCTTTTCAGCTTCTCTTTCATATCTTCTTAAAATGTTGTCTATGGCACCATTATCCACTTCAGCTCTGCCAAGCCCAGGCAGTAGGTCCATTATGATGCATCCAGCACATGTTGTGCCGAATTATAAATTCTTAAGATCATACAAAGATTTTTACAAATAGATCTAACAAGTCGATCTAAAGGGGAAATTTAGAGATTATTAGATTGTGTGCAGAATATTTCCATCTGATCTGCCACAGTCTAAGCCTCATATAAGCTTCAAAGAACTGTACATAAAAAGTGTTTATAAACTGAATAGCCTCAGTGGAGTAATTCAAGTGGGACGCTAGTGGCTCTAGAGGGAGCTGCATGAAGGCTGAGCAGTTGGGGCTGAAGACAACAAGTTGGAAAATGATGCGCGGAGTTAGACAGAAGTGAGTTTACTGCACTTCTGTAGTCTGCTCCTCGCCTCTGCTAGCAGCTTGAGGCTACATTAGCTGATTCAAGCATGATACACCCAAATCTCTGACCGAACTGTCGACAGCTGAGCGGGTGATGTCGGCAACAGATTTTGACAAGGAAGAAGAATGACTGGAATAATAAAGCTGATATCTCTGGCCCCATTTAGATGCATCTGATCACAAGTGGACAGCTCTAAGTTCAGAGGGGAACACACCCAAGATGAATTTGAAGACGCATTTAAGATCTGATCACTCCACCATCAGACCACCTCCGGGTCTGGGCTGCATGCGGCCTCATTCTTGTAACAACATAATGAACACAAATGTGTGCTGGGCCACATTGAAGGACCGCCTTAAAAAGGGGACTCATATTTTACACTGTTTAATTTGAAGTTTTGATATCAATAAGATATATTTGTGGTTTTAAGATCTCTCTGGAGCTCTAGTAACAACGGGTCGGTGAGCCAATCGGATCAAAT